TATAGAACTGATTAATAAAACATCGGTTCTATATGTGGTATTTAGATAACCGCATTAACGAATATGCACGGCTGTGTATATAAGTAATGTTTACAACATGAGCAGCCGTGTTGTATGGCATTTTACAATCTCGAGCATGAGTTTTACAGGACTGCATACATAAGCATTGAACATTCGATATGTACGAGATGCCTTCTGTACGTACATCAGTGACACTGTATATGTACATCCATATATGGGAGTCGTACGAGAGATCCTACTCATYATCCTTGTATGATTTTGGTGACGGATTTCTAAAAGCGAAGTGAAATATTCATATTTCAGCAACTAATACAACTTTGCATGCRATATCTATTTTGTATTAAAAGGAATAAAGACAATCTTTAAAAGGTTGACCGAATAAAAAGACTTTCCTCTGGTCCGAGTGCCCTGTTTAATTATGACATCACATCCAAAGATTCKATTGTTTTAACGCTAAGGATTATGGACACCATATGGGATCACAGTGACTGCATATCAAAAACTGACTTGCAGAAACGTTGTCATAGAAAATAGAACATTCGAATTTAGTAAAAAGGATTGTAAAACTCATGGATAATTAATGAGGACAACACAATAGAAATCACAACCGTGAAGAGTGTTGTAATATTTGATACAAAACTTTCTTGATTCGTATAAACTTCAAATCTAATTTTCTCAGCCAAATTCAATTTTATATAAGTTTTTAGTAGATTACGAATGTATACACCTAAACGTTTCACAAGTAATTTACAACATTCACGTCCGTGTTGTATGGGCTTTAAATCCCACACAATACGGCTGCTCATGTTGTAAATACTACATAAATTAAAACAAGACAAAAGAAAGCGTTCAGCCTCAGTGATCTTCTTTTGTCTTTTTAATTTATTCCTTTTTACTAAAATACAAATGTCCTATACACCTCAATCCAAAATAGCTGACTAGCCCTTGATGTCTCGTTTTCATGAAATTGTTCTTTTCTTTTAAAGTCACTCAAGCTCAAAGACAAAAGAATAATTTTATGAAAACGAGACATCAAGGGTTAGTCAGCCATTTTGGAATAAGGCGTATTTTTTTATGACAACGTTTTCGTAAGTAGGTGTATATCAAAACATGATAMATTAAGGCTCTGCTTTCCGAGAGAATATAAATGGAAATGTCTACAATGCAGTCACGTAGTACATTTTTCATGTAAAGAAACTGAGGTGGATGTTACATCATCTTAATTCAGAGTATAAAGGTCTGATAAAAACTTTGCTACATTGTATCAGMGAAATAACTTAATTATATGCATTATTATCTTTCAGAGTATAAGCGACAGCTATGTCCAAACAAAAGCGAATTTGTGTGATTGGAGCTGGACCAAGTGGCATGGCAGTCCTACATCAATATAACAAAYTGAAACAACAAGGAAAAGACGTCCCACAAATTGTGTGCTATGATAAACAATCGGACTGGGGTGGTCTCTGGGTCTACAACTGGGAGACTGGTAATGACATGCAATTAAGTAAATAAATGTTGTCTATTTGTTATTATTAGCCTCTTTTCCATGCAGGCATAGATCAAATGGTGAACCAGTGCATGGCAGCATGTACATAGGAATGTGGTCCAACAATCTAAAAGAAAATTTAGAACTCCCTGACTACACATTTCAAGATCATTTCAAAAAGYCAATRCCATCTTTCCTTCCAAGAAAAGTAATCSTTGATTATTTGAAAGGTAAGAACTGAAACTACTGTTGAGAAAATTAGCCCGTAAACTCTCAAAGTATAAAGAAAACAGCATACCATTCAATATAGAAAATACTAAAATAATTGTTGCTCTTTATAATAGGTCGTTGGTCTCAAAATAACCTCCGTCAATGGATCAAATTCAACCATGTCGTCCGCCAAGTCACCTACAATGATGACACTGATGACTTCTCAGTTGTCGTGAAAAACCTGCCAGAGGACAAAGACCTCCCAGCTCAGATATTTGACTACGTCATCGTGTCTAGTGGCCACTACTCTGTGCCTTACATACCATACTTCGAAGGCATTGATCAATTTCCAGGTAGAATAATTCACTCCCATGACTTAAGGAATGCATCTCAGTTCAAAGATCAAACAGTTCTTATAGCGGGTTCCAGTTTCTCAGCAGAGGACATTGCAATTCAGGCATTAAAGTATGGCGCAAAAAAGGTTATCATCAGCCACAGAACAAGGCCACTAGGATATAAATGGCCTCCACAGATCGAAGAAAGACCACTTTTAACCAAGATTGATGGCAACACAGTTCACTTCAAAGATGGCTACAGTGCAGAAGTTATCGTTATCACTTTCCATTCATGGAGGAGCGCCTACGACTCAAAGGCACTGTTATGGATGGTTGGTGCTTACCAGGACTGCACAAGGGCGTCCTCTGGTATCCAGGCGGAAACAACAAGCTAATGTATATTGGAATGCAGAATCAGTTTTATACCTTTACCATGTTTGATATGCAAGCAAAGTGGGCATTGGAATATATCGTTGGCGATCGAGAGGTTCCAGATAAGAAGACCATGGAAGCTGATGTGGACAAATGGACACTGAGGTAAGGTTTTTCGACAATAAAAAGAKAAACCCAAACCAATCAAAACCAGTACTCAAGACAATGGCTATTATTCTCCGTTTGAAGCTGTTGTTATGTATTGCTTTCCATTGAATTGAAACGAACTTTCTTTCATAGAAATACCCTCTTTTAGGCATTTTGTACTATAAGACCATGTGGACTACAGTTGATTTGGAAAAAACATTTACCTTCATCAAAAGTAACAACCTTGTATATGAAATTTTTTCAGGTTRAATAAAATAGACGATATGAACGGAATAATCGACTTCCAAACAGACTATGTAAAGAGTCTTGCTGAAGAAGTAAATTATGGCTATGACGTGGATTGCGCTGATATGATTAAATATCGATTGGGGTATACAGTGGATCACCCCCTGACTTACAGAGACACATGTTACGTCAGTAAGTACAGCGGAGTCGAGTCAATCAAACACCATACTTCATTCATGGAGGCTTTTGATGACTCCATGGAAACTTTTCTTGATACYAAGTAATGAGGGATACTTTTCTCTACACGAATGTACCTCAAACGATTGTTTGGGCAACCATAAATATGTAAACAACATCAACCTAACTTSATAATGACTTTAAACTATTTCGAAATATTCAATCTTTTTTGTTATAATAATTCGTTTATCACAAAATGTCCAAATAATAAGCAATTCTAAATACATATGTAACGATGTTATAAAATACAGTCATCTTAGATTTTTATCGTAGCAATTTGATTTATCAATACTTACGAGCCGCGTTTGTTAAATTTATAAACAAGAAGATAATACTCGAACAGCGGCGTCGAACAGAGGATCACGGGTTCGAATCTTGTCTCGAGCACTTTTTTTTTTCTTTCTTTTTAAATATAATATAGTTGTTATAGTCATCTTGATTTTCTGTAGATTTTGTTTAATCATTATTTTTGAGTCATTTGATTTTTTTTATTTTACACAGAATATTATATACTCGAAAGCGTCGAACTTAGAATCGCGATGTGAAACGATCAAACGCAAAATCTATCAAATCGATCGCGGCGCTGGTAAAAGTTATTAGCGTAGCCTGGACACGGTATGTTCCACGAAGTGGTTCTTGTTACTGATTCACCACATTTTACGCTGTGGATACACTAATACTAACATAGAAAGTAAATTGCCTTCTGTGCATCTTAAGGCAWGTGCTCCCACGGAAAAAAAAGTAATAACCCCTCATACAATTGCGAGCACGGCAGACGATTGTCATTTAGAATAATTAGGCGGTGGATCCAGGGTTTTTCTTCAGGAAGGGGTAGAGGTAAGCCGCAAGAAGGGAGTATACCCATCAGAAAAGATCACAATGGAGTGTTACAAATTTGTGGAAAGTATTCACGAGTAGAGTACAAACACTAAAACTGTGCAACATAAATACCACTAAATACTGCTAAATTATGCTAATTCTATTGTTTTCTATTGTTTAATTAACACTATTTTGTAGTAAATAGTGGAAAGTAGAGTGCTCGCACTAAATGCGTGAAATATAAATACCACAAAATAAGTAATAAATTATACAAATTCCTTTGTTTCCCATTGTATAATCAACACTATTTAGTTGTAATTAGTACTATTTGTTTCACGCTTTAAGTGCAAGCACTCTATTGCACACATTTAATGTTTGTACTCTACAATATCCAAAGATAGAAGATTCTGCAATCTCTTCATTGACATTGTTACAGACTTTTAGTTACAAATTGTGAATTGATTATTCCTAAAATCCCAGTACAAGTGGGAATATCTTCTTTCTAGGATAGACAAATGGAAATAGCCAATTTACACATAGATTCGAGGCTAAAAATGCTTGCACCGGAAGTTTCAGAATAGTCAATAATTAAAGTTTTTAAAACTCACCTAATAAAAGGGTGGGCTTCCAGTTGACCCTACCAAGAAACGACTATCACTATCAACTTGTCCTTGTAATTCCAGCTGTCATTTCAACAATACTCCTAGACGATAACTGCTTGATGTTGGACCTGCTTATTCTTCTCCGCATCTTTGGCAGAAACAACTTGCTCCATATTATCTTACCAGGCTTCAATAAACTGCTAACACGTGCAGAACACCCTAAAGGTCTTCTTTCTCGATCCATTAAATAACAAAATGAAGTAACAGAAAATGTAGATGATCAAGAAGATGGTACCAGTGCNNAATATCCAAAGATAGAAGGTTCTGCAATCTCTTCATTGACATTGTTACAGACTTTTAGTTACAAATTGTGAATTGATTATTCCTAAAATCCCAGTACAAGTGGGAATATCTTCTTTCTAGGATAGACAACTGGAAATCGCCAATTTACACATAGATTCGAGGCTAAAAATGCTTGCACCGGAAGTTTGAGAATAGTCAATAATTAAAGTTTTTAAAACTCACCTAATAAAAGGGTGGGCTTCCAGTTGACCCTACCCCAGAAACGACTATCACTATCAATTTGTCCTTGTAATTCCAGCTGTCATTTTAACAATACTTCTAGACGATAACTGATTGACGTCGGACCTGCTTATTCTTCTCCGCATCTTTGGCAGAAATAACTTGCTCCATATTATCTTACCAGGCTTCAATGAACTGCTAACACGTGCAGAACACCCTAGAGGTCTTCTTTCTTGATCCATTAATAACAAAATGAAGTAACAGAAAATGTAGATGATCAAGAAGAAGGTACCAGTGCACTTCACTGTATTACACGTATCTAACAATAGAATTGGTTCAACCATTAGGACTAGTTCTTAGTGAAACACAAACTCAAAACACTCCATTCTTACCTTTACAATTGTGACCGCAATATCATGCAAAATGAAGACGTCTTTTAAATTTATCTGATCTTGTTCCGTTTCGTTTTGCTTTGTTGTTAGTGTTGTTGTTGATGCTRCTTTGTTTAAGATTTACCCAAAATATTCAATAAACAAGGTTCGTGCTATGTTTTCGTTAATAAATCCAAAGACATTTCAAGAATATTTAAGCAGAAAAAATTTAATTTTCAAGGATTGTTTTAAAAGACTGGTCTGATTCTTTCTGGACTTTTACGAYACCGATTGCTATATTAGCCAAAACGTTTAAACAAGTTTAAATCACTTCAAATTCAAAAGAGAATTTCAAGAGTTTTGGGAGGTTTCCTCTTTCCAARGGCTTTTCAAGGACCACTGACAACAAGTTTTCAATCGAAAACTTTCCAAGGATATCTAGTAATAGTAGTACTAGCACTGAATAAACGGAAATTAGTGATAGGTGGCTGTGCGTTCGCAGGTGTACAACCGATAAATACTGGCCTTTTATACGGTGATCTGATAAAATACGAATTTTGGAAACAGCAATTTGAGCCATTTGCACATATGTGCCGTTAATATAATAAATCCAATGATTGTCACTTTGCATGTCAGAAAGTGTACATGCAATTAAGTAGAAAAGTGGAACTGGCATTGTTGTGTCATGTCTTTTAACATTGCCAATATACGTCATCACATTCCGTTTATCATTGATAAGTAACAGTTGGATATAATTACTATATCCAACTGTCACTGGCATGTCAGAAAATCTATATGTAGCTGAGTGGAACTGGCATTTTTTTTTTCTTTTTTTTCTTTTTTTTACGTAATAACGTTTTTTTGTGATAAATGGCATGCTATATGGGAATTAGATAAAACCTACATATACCTAAACTAGTGTACCTTTCATTGGCGTGTGCTTTCTTAGAATTAGCTGCCAACAGCAAAGGAAGCATATTCAAAGCAATGCTTCCTTCTTCTGCTTCGTCTAGTCCATAAACATGCTCAATAGGAAGAGTGTCACTACAAGAAAAATGTAACTTCCATTCGAATCTTAATCTTAGTAATGGTGTTATCGTTATTGGGGAGGATCAATATAGTGTATTTAGTGTATATAGTGTATTTATCACCCTTTTCTTTTCCTTATCTTAAAAATATACTCTTCTTTGTTATTTCTGTTAAATTTACCTTTACCTTTCTCATTTTGATCTTAATTGTTCGTTATGTTAGACAAGTAGTGTTATTGTAAATAATTGACATGTAATTTATCTATTTATTTATTAATCTGGCACGCCTAGACTAGCAAAGCTATTTGCAGGCCAAGATTTACTTTTTGTAATAATTGTATGTTTTTTCGTAAATAAAATTGAAAATTGAAAATTGAAAGTGTCCAAAAAATCTGCGGCCCTTGATATGAGTTTCCGAAGTTTATCAGGCCTGTCAGAAGCAGAAAAAAAAGAAGAACTTACACAGGAAGTGGAGCTTCCCTGTCAACAAGGAAATCATCTTGGAAGTCAGATACAACTGTTTCACTTATCCAGTTCTGAGAAAGAGATAAATATAATGATTACAAACCAAACACAACCAATAACAAAGAAGCAACAAAGAAAGAAAGGGCACGAGGAAGGAAGGAGATGGGTAGGGATGGACGGATGGGAGGAACGAACGAGCGAACGAACGAACGAACGAACGAACAAAGAGACGGAGGGAGGGATGGGAAAGGGAGGAAGAGAGAGAGACGAAATAATGCTTTAAAAGTGATGCAGTGATGACCAGGAAGACTACTTGATAGATGTGGTTATGATAATCTTTATAAATGGATAAATGCAACTGTTCTAACTGACCTTGATTTTCCTATCGACATCACCTTGTTCAATGACCCTTGTAAGTTCGTCATAGAACAAGGCTGCTGCTTCAGGGACACGGTTGACACTAGCACGCACCATCTCGAGAAGATGAACAATCTAGAAAATCATAAAATAATTGACTTCTATCACCATTTTTTCAACTTTTTTAGCGTTTTTTTATGTGATCATGGTCTAACATGACCATAGTTGAATAGCCAATCAGAATACTGGATTTGTTATAGTCAATACMTTGGCGGCTACTAAAAATATACACAGAACTACATGTATTGTTAACAGTGACTCACCTGTTTGTATAAATCATTACTAATAGTGGAATGGTATTGTGAGGCTGTGGACATTGTCTCATCACTATCATCAGACCTGAAAACATGCCATCATCCATAWATTACACATTCCATACATATCAATAAATTAAACCACATATACAGTACACCTGCATTTTCTAACCCACACCCTCCTCAGTTTCGCAACAGCAAATTGAAGACTCTGTTAAGAGACAAACCGGAAGTCCCAGAAAGATATACCGGTAAGTATGGGATACTGACAGTGGATAGGAATTATTGAACAAATCAAATCCAAGACTCATTCATCTCCAACTAGAGCCTTTCATTGTCAGTCGGAAAACTGAAAATGGCATACCTGTTTCTTGCCATGCTGCGCACAATCATCACAGCACCAATGATACCTATTCTTTTGTACCTGAAGCACAAAAGTAAAATAATTATAGAAAATCAATGCCGCCCTATTAGATTAGCATAATGTTATAAAATACATGTACTAGGCAGCCTTTATCAGTGAAATCTGCTTCTCTGTTACTTTATATTGATAATAGTGTGTACAATATCAAACACAATATAGAATTATACTCTCTGATTGATTGATCGATTGGATGATTGATCAACAGGTTCTTGATACAAAATCACCAATGAATGCTTTCTAAGTTTTAACAATTATGGTTTGTTTTCTGTGTCCTTTGTTATGAATCCTTACTTGGGACAGTCACTTGAAAGCTGTTTTCTGATGACTATATGGACATCATCCTGTGATCAAAAATATATTAAAACCACACATTATTACAAGAAAATCACATTTAATTTTCAAATTTAAAAATTTGCAAGTGGGTTTAAGTGTAGTCAGCTACATGCTTGACTGATATATACTCCATGTCAACACTGGAGTTTGTTAGTTTTCTGGATTTCACATTTATTTGATACATGTAGCTTACAGCTGTATGTTTCTATAGTCCTGAACTAGATCCTCTTTTATCCTTGAGTGCGCTGAATTGAAAACTATATTTTGAATCAATGTCCTCAACAATCAGGATACTCTTCTCAATTTTCTCGAGCGTGAGCAAGCGCGCTGGATTTTTAACTTTTACATTTTAAGAATAGCATAGTACTGTAATAATTTGGAAACATTAATAAATTAGTCACTCAGTTAACCAGACATTATTGCTATCTTATAGCTAACAGTAAACCAGACATTTTGCTTAAAATTAGTCAAATAGTAAACTAGACGCTTTGCAGCCTAAGTCAGACAGTAAACCAGACATTATTGCCATCAAAGTCAACCTTAATGTATTCATGCCTGACATAATTTGAGAAAAGAGGGTCCAGTTCTGGACTAATGTTGCTGCTTCATTGATAAATAATGAAAATGCTTGTGTGCAAAAAAAAATTAAATCCTACTTAGTGTAGTACAGGCTTTCTCTCATTTTTTTCATTATTAACAGTTTGAAATTAAGGACAGAGCTCTGTAAAAGCAATTATGTTGAACCTCCTCCATACCTGAATCATGGCACCTTCACGGCGGCTACTGAACGCCAAGGTACTAAGCATTGAGAAAACCTTCCTAATTTGACTGAGAGTAAGGTTGTCCAAATAGTCTAAAATACCCTGTAAAGCAAACAAAATCCACATTTTGAGATACATGTAATTCCCTG